CTACTTTGCCAAAGGTGGCTCAAAAATGTCTTCCCTAGTCTGTCTATCCTGACGATATCCCTTCCCGCCTTTTCAACCCACCTTCCATGTCCCAGTACAGCTACCGTCCTTTCCTCTCTATTCCATGCCTCAAACATCTCCCTGTACGTTCCATCTATTTTTCCCAGCTCAGTCACGTACACTTCCCTCTCCTTCTTGTACAACGGACATTCCGCGACTACATGAACACGGTCTTCGCATTCGAAGCCGCAATCACATTTGAACTCGTCGTCTTCCTCGTCTACCGTCCTATGTCTTCGTCGACGTTCTCGAAGGCCTATGTCCCCGGTCCTGAATTTGACCTTAAGCTTTGTTCCTGCATCCATTGGTCCATGTAGGTAGTCCTTGAACCCTATTCCTTCCTTCAACATTCCGTACACTTCTAGACCCTCCTTATCCTTGGATTCTTTCCTCAGATTCTGTTCTTCTCTCTCGGCACAAGCAACAGATATCTTCTCCTTGAACCCCTGTAGACCCTCCGTTTCCAGCGTTTCATCTTCGTCGATGTCGAGCCCCTTCCATACGTCCTCTACAACCTTGACCCATTCCGTGGGTTGTCTACCCCTCTTTTTGTTTGCCCACTTCGCCTCCCATACAATTCTCGGCAACCTCTCCTCTCCCATCCCGAACATGCGATGCTGCCATATCAGCTTCCTCGCGTCTCTTCCCGACCGTAGCGATTGGATCCCCACTTCTGCCCTGACGGCTGCATTACTTGTGCGCTTGGAGCATCCTAGGATGGTTTTCGCTGCTTTCATCTGCGCCGCCTCGAGTTCTTTCACTACCTTCTTATTTCCTTCCCATACTTCTCCGGCGTACTCTAGCGGCGGTACGATTACGCTCTTCAAAACCGTCAATTTGATGCGTGTATCGAGGTGCCGGTTTGCGAGTATTGGGTGCAGCTTCCCTGCTCGTGCTTTGCCCTTTTCCGCTACCTTGGACATGTGTGCATTCCACGAGCAGTCTTTTGCGATCTCTACTCCGAGGTATGTGTACTGGTCCACTACTGCAATCTCCTCGATCCCCCACTTCCATCTATGTTCTACTGGTTCCTCCTTGTTCTCGTTGCATACCATGACGGCACTCTTCTGAACGTTGGCAGACAATCTCCACTTATCAGTAAACTTCTTCGCCGCGTCAATTTGCAGTTGCAGTCCCTCAGGGGTGTCCGACATACCGACAAAATCATCCGCAAACAGCATTCCTGAAACCGACGTTTCCGTGTCCCCTATTTTTATTTCCTTCCGGACTGCCTCTACGACTTACAACAGATTATTGATGCACACCTGGAACAACGTTGGGGACAGCGTGCAACCTTGTGGGACCCCCTGCTC